CCCCCCCCCCCCCAAAAAAAATTTCTTGATTATATGATAATTTTTTACACCAAGGGTCAAGATCCCAACTCTTACTGCTCTTGAGTTAGTTGGTACCCAACCAGAGCTGATTCAGATTGCATGATCATCATCATTGTCCTGACTCGCAGTCACTTTTCAAACTTGTAAAGTGTTCAGTGAAGGACTTCTAGTGCCGCTTACTCCTGGACTGGTTTATCGTGTTGAGTTTTGTGTCATCTGTTGTCTTACGACCACCCTTTCACTGCCAGTGGAGGTGAGATTGAAGCCTCCCTGGCAGGGACAGGATCTCTCACAGATCAACGAGCACAGTGTGAGCATGTCTATCTCCTGTTCTTGTCTATGAAACACTGAGCCCCGCCTCCCCTCCTCCTCCTGCCAGTTGCCCTGATATGGGGTATTGACTGTCTTGTCCTGTAGGGTTTATTAGACCTTGTGGTTCTCACAGTATGGAGTTTCTAAAAACATTCATGTGGCGAGACCGTGTTGACTTTTCACCACCCTGACTGAGTTAAAACGAGCTCACTCACCGTCTGTAAGCCTCGATTGACGTTTTGAACAGTGCTGCAGATACGATCATGCAAGTTGATGTTTTGTGATGTCAGTCTGGTGCTGGTGTAGGTTTTGGAAGGATTCATTTGTGGGTTAGTTGCTTTCTCAGTGGGTCTTTGCACCAGAGGAAATGTTGTAGAGTACTCTGTCATCTGTAGGACCTCAAAGCTCCCACAGACCCCACCTGTACAGAAACAGCATGGGGTTGATCACTTCTTACTGCTCTCACTTTCTCTCCTCCTCAGGTACTGCTTTGACTCCTGCTTCTTATGCATCTGTATCTATATATATATACACTAGCTCAAACAAAACAATCCTTCCCACCAGCTATTACATTTACTTTCTAGCCATTTTGCTGTGCTATGTTTCTCTGTTCTCTTTATACCCTTTCCTTTCTGCAGTGACATAAATGAACAGGCCCGTCCTCTCTGCTTTGCCAACTCTGAATTGCGCCTCATCAGCTGGTCTGTATCTTTCCTGTTTTTCCATAAACATTAAAAACATGACTTTTCCAACTGTATTACAAATAAAAAGCAACAAAATATAAAATAATATAATAAAAGAATAATAAGGTCAAATCTTATCTTTCCTTCTTCGTGTAAATTTATAGCAAAAACAAACCTTATAGAAATTCAAATTAATAATTATTAGTTCTTGCAATCAGAGATTCAAAGGAGGCAATGTCCACCATTAATTCTAACCATTTAGCAACATCAGGCTTTCAGACTCTTTTCTTCTGAAGCACCTCAGAGGAACTTATTTTTAATTTATCATCGTTAGTGCTAAACATAAGCTATGCTCTGCTTCGCTTCATAGCTTCAGCTCGTTTACAGAGTAGCAGATGAAAGTGTTTTTAAGTGAGAGTACTTAAAGTAGAAGTCTACACCACCTGACCTCGATGCTAGGCCGACACAGACCCCTTTGATCAGGTGGATTAACTCGATGCAGAGTGACAGAGTGTCTGCCTCATTTACCCACCATCACCCAGCACCGGTCCCACCGGTCCGTAGACTCTGCGGTCATGCTGGAAGCACCCTGCGTGTCTAGAAGGCTGGTTGTGAGCCAGAATCATTTTAAATTATAAGCACATTGAATGCAAAGATTTTTGTAGGTTTCATCAAAGGTTTTGTGCTGGTAACATGATTTGACACAATGTAACCTGCTAATGTATCAGGTTAACTTCATTTTAACGGTTTTTCTCAAAACTGATAGAGAAATCTGAAGACCTACCCTCACCAATACACACAGTGAACCACCTCATCCCCACCAAACACCACCCACTGCCTCATGTTACCAGTATATAATAGTGATGCTTCTGTATATCACTGTTGTCACTAGGGGGAGCTGGAGAAGCAGCTCCTGCAGGCCAATCCCATCCTGGAAGCCTTCGGAAATGCCAAAACCATCAAAAATGACAACTCCTCCAGATTTGTGAGTTTGATATTTGTAAAAGTGGATATTTTGATGTTTTGTTTCCTGATGTGACATGATTGTTAAGGGCTTCCTGCACCGCAGCATCTTTATTCAGAATACCAGTCAGCTGTTTTCCGACTTACATACTGTATATTGTTTGTATGTTTTGTTAGTTGCAGCACTCCATCCTGTAACCTTTTGTTGTCCCTGCCAGGGTAAATTCATCCGTATCAACTTTGATGTGACTGGCTACATTGTTGGAGCCAATATTGAGACCTGTATCCTTAATTATTTTTTCTTCATGAGTTTATCTTTCACTTTGACATTTTGTTCATATTATTTTTCTCACTCTACAAAAAACTGTTGTCTTCAGTCTTTGATCTGCAGAATAAACTGTGGTCTAAAATCATTTTCCAGACTTTCAGTTTCACCTGCTCCCCAAGTTAAACACAGTGCCACTGTGTATCAGACCTGCTATTTAAGGTCACCCTGCAATAATAGCTTCTTTATGAAAGGACCATCTTATTAATCTTATTTTAGGTTTAGGTTTTCTTTTATGAATGTAGAATGTTTTGACCAATCAGAAAACACAGTTTTATGGCAATTCTAATCCCAAAAATGGATATCTCATACAGCATGTATCTGTTGTTTTCTGTCACTTTAGCTGTTGCTGAATAAGATGTTTTCCCTTATAGAAGGTGTGTTTTTAGATACGTAATTCAGGGTTGTATTACCTGACACATTTTGAGGAAGAGTGCACTCAGCACTGCCAATTTCAGGTGATGCCTGCAAATTATTAGTCTTAGTTTTTTGTTTTGATTTGTTTTATTTTTAACATCTTATTTACATTTGGACATTAATTAGGGGCTGAACCTCTCTCTGAGCAAAGAGCATGTTTGCATTCTTTAACAGCTGACTGCTCTCAGACCTGCTGGAGAAGTCTCGCTGTATCAGACAGGCAAAGACAGAACGAGCTTTTCACATCTTCTACTATATGATTGCCGGCGCCAAGGACAAACTGCGCGGTAAGATGATGATAAATCTAAAATCTGTTTTTATGTCAGGCAGATTTCCTACTCTCAAACTTCAGTTCAAATTACATCTCTTTTCCACAATCTTGGTAAAATTACAACCTATTCAGAAGTTATCTAGGCTTGATTAACTATGTCACACCATCACTGTCATGTGACAAGTCTAATTATCTAAAATCAGGACTCATGAAGAGAAAAGAAACTCAGTCTTGGTTTCACTTGATCCCGTGGGAGGCTATGAAGCAGCAACATGTAATCCTTCAACTGATGCTAAACCATTATTATCAAATTAAAGCTCAGAAACAGTGCTCCTGTGCATCACTGATGACCAGTAATGTTATTTTCTCACAGCAGCAACAACTTCACAGAATCATCCTTCATTCAGAGAACCTGTTTAACATGGTGTTTTCTTTTCAGAGGAGCTTCTTCTAGAGCCCTTCAGTAATTACCGCTTCCTGAGCTGTGGCCACGTTCAGATCCCCGGGCAGCAAGATGATGAGATGTATGAAGAGACAATGGAGGCCATGAGGATCATGGGCTTCACCGATGAAGAGAGAATTGGTATCAGTGATAAGTTTGATCTGATGTGATGCTTGGCTAGAATTGTGAAGTGGGATTAGGCAGGTCCATGTGGTGTCATCTATTTATCTGAACATTTAATCCCTGTATTTCTGCTAGCCATGAGGCTAACTGTCAGATTTTTTCTGTTTCAGATATCTTGAAGGTGTGCTCCACAGTCATGCAGCTGGGAAACATTGGGTTCAAGAAAGAAAGGAACCAGGAGCAGGCCACTATGCCAGACAACACCGGTGAGCTGCTCCCTTCACTAACAAGCAGTGCACAGTTTTGGATTCCTAATGCTGCACTGTGGATTTGTGTTGTGTATCGACATAACTGTCTCTTCCTTTGTAGCGGCTCAGAAGGTGTGCCACCTGCAGGGCATCAATGTGACAGACTTTACCCGTGCCATCCTCACCCCCAGAATCAAAGTGGGCAGAGAGGTGGTGCAGAAGGCACAGACCAAAGAGCAGGTACTATAATGAGTGCACTGTGTGAAATAATTTAACCAAGAAATCTGATTCTGCATAAAATGACTACTCCCCAGACCTGTGATCTTAGTTTAAATCATCTTCATCTCTCAGGTCTCTCCGCAGATATTTTCTGTTTATTTGTATTTGTTAGGCTGACTTTGCTGTTGAAGCTCTGGCTAAGGCCATTTTTGAGCGACTGTTCCGCTGGATCCTGTCCCGAGTCAACAAAGCTCTGGACAAGACCAAACGCCAGGGAGCCTCCTTCCTTGGAATCCTTGACATTGCTGGCTTTGAGATCTTTGAGGTATAGACATGCTCACTGATGGGTCAGAAAATACCAGGCTCTTTTGTAGTTTGAATTTTAGAAGGTGAACACCAACATATATAAAAAAATAAAAATAAAAAAAAAATCCATGCAGGTTATGTATCTTTAGCTCTGTCTGTTGTTTGTTGCAGGACAACTCCTTTGAGCAGCTGTGCATCAACTATACCAATGAAAAGCTACAGCAGCTCTTCAACCATACCATGTTCATCCTGGAGCAGGAGGAGTATCAGAGGGAGGGCATCGAGTGGAACTTCATCGACTTTGGCCTTGACCTGCAGCCCTGCATTGAGCTCATTGAGAGGCCGGTAAGTAACTGTGAGACAATAAAAGCATGTCAGTTAAATCCACTTCATTCAAAGGTTAAGCCACTTAAGTTCTCCCTCCCAGCACAGATATTTTAACATTAGATTAGATTCAACTTTATTGACATTACCCATGTACAAGTACAAGGCAACTAAATGCAGTATTTTGTGATTTAGTAAGTTGTCTCATTTGAAATGTAGTTCAGACTTAGTTACCACTGCATATTCTCTGCAGAACAACCCCCCAGGTATCCTGGCCCTGCTCGATGAAGAGTGCTGGTTCCCCAAAGCCACGGATGTCTCCTTTGTGGAGAAACTCTTGAACACACAAGGGAACCATGTGAAATTTGCCAAGCCTAAACAGCTCAAAGACAAGACAGAGTTTTCTATTCTTCATTATGCTGGGAAGGTGAGTTTGAACAGATTTTGATAATATGATATAAACATGCCACAGTGCCCTGTTAAGTACATACAATAAAACTAATGTTCTCCTTCTGACTTAAAAATAATATTGCTGTGATGATCGTGGACATGTTATACAAATATGTTTGAGGAAAGCTCAAATAACATTACTGTTGTTTTGTTTGTAGGTGGACTATAATGCTACAGCCTGGTTGACAAAGAACATGGACCCTCTAAATGACAACGTCACAACGCTGCTTAGCAACTCCTCCAGCCAGTTTGTGCAAGAACTCTGGAAAGATGGTGAGATGTCTGACTTGGCTGGTTTGGACTGTAAACAATTGGTTACATCTATATTCAAGGGATTCGTCGATCAGGATCAATTAAAACCATTCTGAATAGTTAATACGGTCTACTAAACTAATACATCTATGATTTTAAACAGTGACAGTAATAAAGTTGAATTTTGGATAATTAACACTCCAGTAATATTTAATAATGAAATACACTACACCCTGGGGCACCCCCCGCCTCTGGCCCTGTGGCGGCTCTAGCCCCCCCGCAATCTTCAACATACAGTAAGTGTGTATGGATGGATGAATGGAAATACACCACTAGAGCAAGATACTGTGAATCCTGAAATTTGTTTACATCTGATGTTAGATCCCACAAATATGACATGAACTGAAATAAAGCAAGACATTCACGGGAATGCTGTACTATCAAATTAATTTGAAATATTCTACATTTTATTTGCTCAAAACTTGTAAACATAGGGCCTTTAAATTACAGCAGGAAGAACACAATTTATTTCTAGAATGCTTTATACCATTTTAAGTTGAATAAAAATCTTTTTTTCATTAACAAAATAACATGTCATCTGTTTCAGCGGACAGAGTAGTGGGTCTTGATACAATAGCCAAGATGACGGACAGCTCCATGCCAAGCGCCTCAAAGACCAAGAAGGGCATGTTCCGTACTGTGGGACAGCTCTATAAGGAGTCTTTGGCCAAACTCATGACCACACTAAACAACACTCAGCCCAACTTCGTCAGGTGCATCATCCCCAACCACGAGAAGAGGGTAAAGACAAGTGCCCTGTTATCAACACTGCTGTCTCCTATGCAGCATTCCTTTGAAGATGCAGTTGGTTTAGCACAGCGAGGAAAAAAGAATTATAGATCATAAAATTATTTATTTGACCAGTCATATGGTTTTTAAAAGGGCAGCACAGTGATGTGGCAATTAGCACCCCATCACTTGTTTAGATGTGTTGGCTCATTTGAATGAATGATGACTACAACCCTGTATGAGGAGCCTATCCAGCTCCCTGACACCCTAAATATGATAAAGTATTCACAACAGGTCCTGCACTTTGAACTGTTGCCTCATAGTACAGTGAAATGCATACTTGGTTTTCAGTTTATTAATGTTTTTCAAAAAAAACAACACAATATCCATATAGTGCATTTACCAGCATCCAGTCAGTGCTGAGGCAGTGGTGTCTATTTCTTTCATGAATCCCAGTGTAGTAAAACTGAATCCTGCTCTCCTCAGGCAGGGAAGCTGGATGCTCACCTTGTCTTGGAGCAGCTGAGGTGTAATGGTGTGTTGGAGGGAATCCGAATCTGTCGACAAGGATTCCCCAACCGAATTGTCTTCCAGGAGTTCCGCCAGCGGTAAGTGGGATCCGATATGGTTCACTAACCTCTTACAATTTTACTAGATGTATCATGTTTTTGAATCTAGTTTAGTGTATTGCTGTGAAGCTTTCTCACTATATTAAGCATGACATATTTCTATCTCACAGCTATGAGATCTTGGCTCCTAATGCTATTCCCAAAGGTTTCATGGATGGTAAACAAGCCTGCTGCCTCATGGTAACCTTATTTCAAAATCCCAACCCTTGTTAATCAATAACAAATAAAAAAAATCACAATCAGTGCCATCACAGATATTTTGTGCCCATGTATATAGTCTTATTCTTTGTGAGCCATTAACACCTCATCTTTCTTGCCTACCTCTTTTCTGTGTAGATCAAGCATTTGGACTTGGATCCCAACCTGTACAGGATCGGACAGAGCAAGATCTTTTTCCGCACAGGAGTGTTGGCCCAGCTGGAGGAGGAGAGAGATCTGAAGATCACTGTGATCATCATCGCTTTCCAAGCTCAGGCTAGAGGCTTCCTGGCCAGAAAGTATGAATATACAGGCATCCTCACACAGACTCCACCCTGTAATAAATTCTGTCTGTTGTGCATTACACTACTCATAAGTTAAAGTCTTTTAGGTAATATTTTGCCCTTTTTTATTTAATGGTTTTGGGAGGGTTATTAATTAGAATCTAGAGCAGTTTGCATTAGATTATACAAAATATATTGGTTTTATTTATGTATTTTTAAAGGGCCTTTGCCAAGAGGCAACAACAGCTCACAGCCATGAAAGTAATCCAAAGGAATTGTGCTGCCTACCTCAAACTAAGGAACTGGCAGTGGTGGAGGCTCTTCACAAAGGTCAGCTAATCATTCAGTATTTTAATGCAAAAACATCAGCCTTGTATTTTAGCCTCACTTCTTGCTTTTTCTGTAGTCTTAGATTTACTTCCTTATGTACTGTACCTTTGTAAATTTCTTAGACTTTTCTTCTTTTAACCCCATTTTTAAAATGTGATGTTGCCCATTCTACTGAACCATAGGTCAAGCCTCTACTGCAAGTGACCCGACAGGAGGAGGAGATGAGTCTGAAGGAGGAAGAGCTGCAGAAAGCAAAAGAAACAGCTTCAAAGTTTGAATCTGAGCTGAAGGAGATCTTCCTGAAACACACATCGGTAAAGACTCAAATCTGAAAGAATGACACAAACACTACTTAAAAGTTTCATTGCTTTCACTTAATGTCATGGACATCATTTGAGACTGTTTTTGGGCACCAATTTATGTCACATTTCAGCTGTATATGTTAAACAGTTCCCATTTATGTTCTACAGGTGATCTACTGATCATTTCCTGTCTATGTGCTCCAGGTTTTGGAGGAGAGGAACGCACTGCAGGAGCAGCTTCAGGCGGAGACAGAGCTGTATGCTGAGGCTGAGGAGATGAGAGTTCGTCTTGCAGCTAAGAAGCAGGAGTTGGAGGAGATCCTTCATGAGATGGAGGCCAGGCTGGATGAGGAGGAAGAACGCGCTCAGGCGCTGCTAGTGGAGAAGAAGAAGATGCAACAGCAGATGCAGGTCTGCACATTGTTTTTTTCTATTGTTTTGTTGCTATTGTTGCTCTTAAGAGTTTCACTGCTTATTTCTATGCAATATATATTTTGACAATGTGATGAAATTGCACCTGAAACTGAGGGTTCGGTCTTTTTTATATAGGAATTAGAAGAACATTTAGAAGAGGAAGAGGATGCTCGTCAAAAGCTGCAGCTGGAGAAGGTTACCTGTGAGGGAAAAATCAAAAAGCTGGAGGATGACATCCTGATAATGGAGGACCAGAACAACAAGCTGCTGAAGGTAAGTGTGGACAAACTGCCTTGATTAGGAAAACCTTTCGTTTGATCAGGCACCACTGAGAGTTCCTGTGTCAGAAATCTAAATTCGGCAAATGCATGACCACCTGTACTCTGTGGTGTTTTGTAGGAGAGGAAGCTGCTGGAGGAGAGAGTTGCAGACTTCAGTGCCAACCTAGCTGAGGAAGAGGAGAAATCGAAGAACCTCACTAAGCTCAAAAATAAACATGAATCCATGATCTCAGAATTAGAGGGTAATCATCTTTTTTGCATTGTAGCATATGAAACATTTTCACAGTCATTACTGAAGTCACAATTGGAGTCGTACTCATACATCACAAAAATATAGATTTGTTCTAAATGTTATTCTTCCCCTGTACTTACAGTCCGCTTGAAAAAAGAAGAAAAGACTCGACAGGAGCTGGACAAGGCTAAGCGCAAATTGGAGGCAGAGTCAAATGACTTACAAGAGCAGATAGCTGACCTGCAGGCTCAGATCGCTGACCTCAAAGCTCAGCTCGCCAAGAAGGAGGAGGAGTTACAGAATGCTTTGGCCAGGTAAAGTCCTGACAAGTTACAAAAATAATACAAATTGAATATTCAGTACGCCTCAGTCTGCAAAGCCAAGGACCTGATTGCTTCAAAGCAACACCTGCTCTGTTCCAACTTTGATCTTCATGGATGCTATTTCTTTAATTTCTCTTATGCGCACTATCATTGTTTATATTTTACTGACAGGTTAGAAGATGAGACAGGCCAGAAGAACAATGCTCTGAAGAAGATCAGAGAACTGGAGGGGCATATCTCTGATCTGCAAGAGGACCTCGACTCTGAGCGGGCAGCAAGGAACAAGGCAGAGAAGATCAAACGGGACCTTGGGGAGGAGCTTGAAGCCCTCAAGTCTGAGTTAGAGGACACACTGGACACCACTGCCACACAGCAAGAACTGAGGTCAGCAATAAAATACACTTTGGAACTCCAGAGTAACATGCAACAAATATTAAATCCAGATAATTTAAATAAAACACCATTTCTTGTAATTAAAATGTTCATTGTAGATAGAGGTGCAAGACAGATTTGTCCAGTAAACATTTGCATGATCCAAACATGTGTTGTCCAGAGCCAAACGTGAACAGGAGGTGACCCTACTGAAGAGAGCCATTGAGGAGGAGAACCGGACCCATGAGGCCCAGGTCCAGGAGATGAGACAGAAACACACCCAGGCTGTGGAAGAGCTCACAGAGCAGCTGGAGCAGTCCAAACGAGTAGGCCCGCATTATTTTATAAAGTGTTATAAATACTCAGGTGCCTTTTATCTTGTTTGTTTAGTTTATATAGTGCTTCAGCCTCTTAGTCCTGTCTAATCAAAATGTTATTGATTGTTTCCTTTCTCTCTGCTGCTCAGGTGAAGACAAACCTGGAGAAGGCAAAACAAGCTCTGGAGAAGGAGACATCAGAATTAACCATAGAGGTGCGCACACTAGCACAAGCCAAACAAGACGGGGAGAACAAGAGGAAGAAATTGGAAGTTCAGGTGGCAGATCTTCAGTCCCGCTTCAACGACAGTGAGAAACAGAAGGCTGAGCTGGGAGAACGCTGCTCCAAGATCACAGTAAATCACTACCAGTATTTACATCAGCACTGAAGAGTGAATATTTAAAAACAACCATGCAGATATGCTCAAAATTATTGTCCCAGAGGCCTCATCTTTACCCTCATACAGGTTGAACTGGAGAGTGTGACAAACCTACTGAATGAAGCAGAAGGCAAGAACATCAAACTGACCAAAGATCTTACCAGTCTTACCTCCCAACTCCAAGACACACAGGTAACTTGACTTTTAGGAGAATTTTAGGAGCACTATTGCTTTTATATACAGTCCGGCAACAGAGTGGTGCAGTGGGTAGCGCAGTCGTCTCCCAACGGGAAGGTTGAAGGTTCGAACCTCGGTGCCTGCAGCCCACATGTCGATGTGTCCTTGGGCAAGACACTGAACCCCCACCCCCCCGTTGCACGGGATGGCGGCACATACGCACCCCGGGGCCCTCAGCTCCAAACATAATTTGGTTGTATGTGTTACAATAAATAATTCTTCTTCCACATGTAACTTTTCCTGTGGCTAAATAATGCTTACTGACAAAAAGTTCAGAAATAATTCAGTGACTTTGGACCTGGTGTGCTGCTACAGGAGCTGTTGGCTGAGGAGACACGTCAGAAACTGCAGTTCTCTACGAAGCTCCGGCAAGCAGAAGACGACAAGAACAGCTTGCAGGAGCAGCTTGACGATGAGGTGGAGGCTAAGAGGAATCTGGAGAGACATGTGTCTACCCTCAACATTCAGGTCAGAGTTCAAACTTGGGGTCAATCTAGAGGTTACAGGTAGAGTGACTGACAATATGATAAAAAATTAGACACTGGAGAGCAACATTTCACCAGGGGAGAAGCAATTGGGAGAAATGAGATACACTTGACCTTTGAGCTTGAACATTTGAAAAGACGTATCAGATTTACTGCTTAGTAACCTGAAAACAAAAGCAAGATTCCTTTTTTCACTGGCTAAACACATTCTGGGTCTGTCTGCAGCTGTCAGATGCAAAGAAGAAACTAGAGGAAATGACAGGAAACATCGAGCTGCTGGAAGAAGGCAAGAAACGTCTTCAGAGAGATCTAGAGGCAGCTAATACCCAGTATGAAGAGAAGGCTTCAGCGTATGACAAGCTGGAGAAGACCAAAAACCGTCTGCAGCAGGAACTGGAGGACACGCTGATGGACCTGGACAACCAGAGACAGAATGTGTCAAACCTGGAGAAGAAGCAGAAGAAATTTGACCAAGTCAGAAACATCTAAAACTAAGACATAACTCTCTGAAAGTATTAATATTTGTACCCAAAAAAGTAATCAGCTGCACTACTGGTTACATTATTTAGCAATGTACATTAAAATCACAGTTTGTCTATTTATCTACGGTTCTTTGCCCCTTCTGACCTCCAGATGCTGGCTGAAGAGAAGACTATCTCCAGTAAATATGCAGAGGAGAGAGACCGCGCTGAAGCTGAGGCCAGAGAGAAGGAGACCAAAGCTTTGTCTCTTGCGAGAGCTCTGGACGAGGCCCAAGATGCCAGAGAGGAGCTGGAGAGAGCCAACAAAGCCCTGAGGGCAGAAATGGAGGACCTGATCAGCTCCAAGGATGATGTGGGAAAAAATGTTAGTGCTGGAATGTCACAGAATAAGTCACTCTTTAAACTACTAGCACAGGATTCATTATGTTTAGTCTGAAAATCCCATGTTGTCAATTGTATAATTTGTTTAACATAATTAGTAATTTGAAAATATATTGATGGCAGGTCCATGAGTTGGAGAAGTCCAAACGAGGCCTGGAAGCCCAGGTGGAGGAGATGAAGACCCAGCTGGAGGAGCTGGAGGACGAGCTGCAGGCGGCTGAGGATGGCAAGCTGCGTCTGGAGGTCAACATGCAGGCCCTGAAGGCCCAGTTCGAGAGGGACCTCCAGGGACGCGATGAGATGGGAGAGGAGAAGAAGAGGCAGCTTGTCAAGCAGGTAAAGAAGCATAAAGACATTTTGTCTACCAGTAGAATTGGATCTAATTCACCATCACAGAATCACACACCAGCTGCATTAGTAATCTATGTGATGACATACATCGACTGCAGGTCCGTGAGTTGGAGACAGAGTTGGAGGATGAACGTAAACAGAAGGTCCTGGTAGCAGCAGCCAAGAAGAAGCTGGAGACGGACATGAAAGACCTGGAGGGACAGATTGAGACGGCCAATAAGGGACGAGATGAGGCAATCAAGCAGCTCCGCAAGCTACAAGTAAGATGAAGGGATGGAGTAAATGCAGCTGCAGATTCAGTACATAAAAACTAATAATCTAAATACTGTACAGTATTGTATTAGTTTTTATTGTAATTTTGGATGCATGTTTTATTTCATTGTTTCCCTCTATTTCTAATCATGTACCTTGTTGGAGGTTTTTGTATTTGAAATGATAATAGTGCCAGCTTCCAACTCAGATAGTGTTCAAGTGCTCTGGTCACACATACTGTACATACTGTCTGACACTGTATAGACTTGTAAAGTGCTAGACATTTTCTTTGTATGGAAAGTGCTATAAACTAATGATGCTTCTGAGGAACACAATACTTGGCTGCATTAGTTCTAAGCGCTTGGCCTACAATATTGCAAATACACTGATGCTAACTATCTTGTCTCCCTCCCTGTCGCTGGCTCTGTTTCTGTTAATCTCCCTCCTTCCAGGCCCAGATGAAGGACTTCCAGAGGGAGTTGGAAGATGCCCGCGCTGCCCGAGAGGAGGTGCTGGCTACCGCAAAGGAAAGTGAGAAGAAGGCCAAAAATCTGGAGGCTGAGCTCATGCAGCTACAGGAGGTAATGTTGAAGATTTCCAACAAAGCAAAAACTTGTCTGAGAGCAGAGGCTTGAAATAATGAACTCATCTCTAATCTGTCTCTAGGACCTCGCTGCGGCTGAGAGGGCAAAGAAGCAGGCAGAAGCTGAAAGAGACGAGCTGTCTGATGAGCTGGCCAGCAACACCTCTGGAAAGTGGGTGGAGACTTCACGCTGTTGCCTTGTCTGTGAAATGAACACAGAAAGCAAAAGATGATTCTGGTTGATTTCTACTGTGGGCCCTGTGCACAGGTCAGCCTTGGCAGATGAAAAACGCCGTCTGGAAGCTAAGATTGCCCAGCTAGAGGAGGAGCTGGAGGAGGAGCAGAGCAACATGGAGATCCTCAACGACAGGCTGAGGAAGAGTACACAGCAGGTGACAAGATCAGAGGAGCTACATTAGTCTCTTCAAGGCTTATTGGCTCTGTAGACGTGCTCCCTCTTTCTACCTCTGCCTTCCCAGCGTCATGCTGACAGACTGTCTTTCCTCTGCAGGTGGACCAGCTAAACAACGAGCTGCAGACGGAGCGCACTGCCGCCCAGAAGAACGAGAGTGCTCGGCAGCAGATGGAACGCCAGAACAAGGAGCTAAAGGCCAAGCTCCAGGACATGGAGAACCAGGTCAAATCCAAGTTCAAGTCCTCCATTACTGCCTTGGAGGCTAAAGTGGCACAGCTGGAGGAGCAACTAGAGCAGGAGAACAGGTTGGGGACAACAAACACACACACACAAAGCAGACAGTGTGTCTGATCAAAACATACAAGTTGTTGCTGTTGCTTAGTGGTTTTGTGCCAGTACACACACAAAATGTTAATCCACCCACAACTAAATGAATTTACATTTTCTAGCAATGAATCACTAAAACCAATACTACTTGTGCACTATATTCACGGATTACTTAGCAAAAACAGTGCTCCTTTATTATTACTGATGTCTTCTGTCATTTCCCAGGGAGAAGCAGGTATCTGCCAAGAGTATGCGCCAGAAGGACAAGAAGCTCAAGGACCTGGTGATACAGGTGGAAGATGAAAGGAAACAGGCTGAGCAGTACAAAGATCAGGTACAACCATACACACTTTTTGTGTGCACAGTAAAGTGCGTGGCCATCCACATTTGTGCATTGGATGGATATTTTGACTACACAGGGATGGGTTGGTGGGGTAGCCAATCAGAGTAGTAAACTTGCATATTTCCCATTTGCTCACCAGGCGGAAAAGGCAAATGCTCGCATGAAGCAGCTGAAACGGCAGCTGGAGGAGGCAGAGGAGGAGTCTCAGCGTGCTACAGCCGCCCGCAGGAAACTGCAGCGGGAGCTGGATGAAGCCACTGAGGCCAATGACACCATGAGCCGCGAAGTCAACTCTCTCAAGAGCAAACTCAGGTAGGACAATAAGCCAAAGATTTCTCTTCTCTGTCTACAAATCTTGCTTTCTTCTTGAGGCAGGTGGAGTGTTTTCTGTTTCTCTTTTCTGTAGTAACTTTATTCAACACTGCAAAAGGAAAAACAGCAGACTGAAAATAGATACATTAACAACAGCACACTCTTTTTACACAAAGGAAATGAACTCAAATTGTAAACAAACATTTAGAGCATTAAGATTTCTATTTAGTTCAGTGGATTTAGCTTTACCAACAACCAGCAAAACAATGCTGTCCATCTCTATTCCAGAGGCAATCCTGAACCCAAGGAGTAACACAGCAGGTACCTCTGCGCCTAAACATTACCATCGCATTTCTCATTAACTTAACAGAATTTTTCATTCCGCCGAGCACACTCTTAATGCTATCATTTCCTTCACTGAGCCTAACTGAGAGAAATATGGCTCACTGGCCTCCAGTGATTTATTAAGAAAAGAACAGTCACTAAGTCAAGCTGCACCATTTGCTTTCTATTACACCTATTTCCAGGCAGCCATATATTTCTCAGTGCTTGGTTTAACTGCAATAAACCAAACTCATTTTCCTGAGCCAGGATTGAAATGAGTTACCAAGATAATCAGCGTGCTTAACCTGTAACCAAAGCACCACCTCTCTATTCTGTATTTCATCGATTCTTCTTCTAGTGTGAAACACCTGAGTGGTTTTCAGACAAACCTTAACTACGTCAACAGCTTTCTAGTAACCACACTTTTTATTGAGGGACATATTTTTGTGTTTGTATTTGTGTCTTGTGTCTCTCTAGGCGTGGAAATGAGCCCTCCTTTGGCATTGGCAGCACACCTCGGCGTATAGGTGGAGGCCGAAGGGTGGTTGACGACGCCTCAGAGGAGGAGGTCGACTCCCAGGGCGACTTCAATGGAACAAAGTCAGTGGAGTAAGGGATGTCAAATAACCAAATTACTTTCCAGGGCTAAAGAATCACTTCGGAAGCCTGTCATGCTATCTAGTTCTTCCATATCACTGCAAAAATATATATTTTCTACCATTTCCATTAGTGTACAGCTGTACCTTTTCTTGACACAAAACAGTCAGAAGGGCCTGATATCAACCAGAAGAATTGTTTTAGTGGCTCTGCTGTGTGTTGCCTTTTTTTCTTTTTAACATGGTTTTGTACTGCTCGGAATGACTGGTACTCTCTTATGGAAGGTTTTGTGCACAAAAATAAGTGCCTCTAATTACCACACTAACCTGCCAGCAAAGGCTCAAGTCTCCACAATAAGTCACCTTGAACTCAAATCAGAGACGCTGTGTAAATCTGCAGATCTGTGGCTATTATCAGTGACTGTCGTTCTGCTGTCTGACTGCTGTTAGTGTTTCAGAGCAATGCTGAAGTGGTTTGTCAGATTGGATCTGTAGACAGATGTCTATACTCAGTCTGCCTCCAATCAGTGCTGCCGTTTGTACGAACAAATATTTAGCTGTTAAACATTTTCTAAAGCCACCAATTTATATTCTTTGCAAATTTATTGTGCCCAGAAATGTTTACATAACATTTATTACAGGAATAACTTAATGTTTAAGGGTAAACACAGTTTGGGGTTACACCAACTACAAAATAATTTTCAACATTTTTACTGTAAATTTAAAAAGTCCCTGCTCACCCTAAACAAACCATTCTCATTTCATAATGTTATGTAATCCGCTGAAGTTTATGTGACACCATTCATATGTATTAGTTGTTGAACCACCTGCACAATAAATAAATATCTTTAAAAAAGCTTTGATTTTCTCTTTTTATTGTTTCTGTCATGGTCAGTGACTAACACAACAGAACAATATTCTCATCTGTTCAGTTTAGTAAAAAAAACACCTAGAATTTAACAGGACAAAAGTTGGGTATAGTACCTCAGGCACATTAGCAGAAGCAGCTATAGGGGTGCTGCATGCATACACACACCCAGTACACAGTGGTCAGAGACTAGTTACTGTTAGCTCATGTTAGTTCAGAGCAAAACAGAACAGAGACTAGTTACTGTTAGCTCATGTTCTGAGCAAAACAGAAAAAGGAGCAGAAACTGCAATTCTCACATGTTAATTCCTACACATTATACAGTTATGACTGCAGTAGAAATGTGATATTTTATGTGCTGTAGTATGTTCTTAATGAAATGCTGGATTGCAATAATGAGAACTGATTAAGTCTGAAGGAGAGATGTTGCAGTAAAATTTGTTAATCATTTCCCTATTCACTATACAACTCTTACCAAAACAGGAAAATGGTATAGGCTAGCTATACATTAATATACTATGAACTATGCATATATTTCATCTGTTGAAAATCTATTATTGCTTGAAATTATCATAGTAAAAAAGTTCTTTGCCACCCTAGATCATAAATCTGCAGCATGACAAACCTTATATAGGCAGAAATCCTATCCCTATTCTTCACATTTATAAGCTCTCCTTATCAGAAAGCAGTCTGCTAAAACTAAGTCTGTGTGATAATAATGAGATGAGGGCCAAGGAGTAAACTAAAGGTAAAGAACCAAGTGAACCTCCTTAAACTGCTCCACACCAGGCTCTTTGTGACCTATAACAATTGATGCCGTTATTGATAGGACAATGTTCCCGTGTTATATCTGATATACAAAGAAAACTTAACCCATGACCTCTATGTTCAGTCTACCTCTCATTCCTCACAGCTTTGGTTTAGAGGTTTAGGTCATAAACTCATTTGTTTTATAAATGACCCTCTATGTTCTTGGTCCTATACCAAGGTCATATCCAGTGGCTGTTAATATATTTAGCTACTTCAGTGGATTCATTCCTAAGTGCAACAACTGTCCTACATGTGTTTTCTGGGAGCATGTAATGTTTCAACAGCTCTGTTGTGCTTGATCTATCACAGAAAGCAAATCAGTAGACTGCAGCATCAGATACAGCAGAAGATATGGTGCGAGCAATAGGTTCTGCATTCCTTGATTTTACATACAGTAAGCTGTAGTGCTGCTTCCTGTCATAGACATGGTGTGATATGTGGGGCACAAAGCAAGGACAGACGATTTTTTGTTCCAACACTTCAGCAGGGCACATGGAAACACAGGACGATGGCCTGGGTCAACGTTCCACTGCTGTAAGTTTATACAAGAGGAGGTCTGGGTGAAGTTATTGAAGGAAGGAGGTGGCTTGTCTTCTGTCTCATAGCAGGATCTTGACCCCTCCCTGTGGGGACTGGGCACCCTGGGAGACCCCTCTCGGAGGAGCTGGTCCAAACTCTAACCGCTTCACTAAACTGTAAAACAAGATGTAGCACATACTCTCATGAACAAACCCAAAATTAACAAATACTTTTTATTCCCAATATCTGTTGACTTATAAAGTGATATTTAAAAAATGACTAAAATTATCCTGTAAAAATGTATGGAAGCTTCTGTGTGCAAATAAAGGCTAAGATCAAGCACACAGAGGATTTTACCTGGTTATTGTTTCAGATTCAGTGACCCAGTCCAGTCTAGGAATAATTAGATTCAGTTCCAACAGTGTATCTACTGTATATTAGTCTAAGTGAACATGCTCTAATTTACTTATGAAATGTATAGGTCGATTCCTGTATTTTTTGACTTTTTCCATTCTGACAATGGGTCATGCTAACTTTGCACCTGAAATGAAAACAGGATTTCTTTCATTGCATGTGCATTCTGAGGAATGAAGGCCACACGGGGGTTCCAGCTATACACAAAATCAGCACCAGTGCACATTAACAACCATGTCTGAGCCTTCACTAAAAAAAAAAAAAAAAAAAAAAAAAAAAAAAACTGTTTTACACTTATACCTATGGGTAGGTACAAAATATATGTAAAGCTTCTATAGAAAAATACACACAATCACCTGTCGTACTGAGGTGGAGGACTCATGCTGGTCGCTTGGACCTCGGGGCCTGTTTCTAAACCAGACAGACTACTACGACCAGCTGGAAGTGCCGGTCTGCTGATAGATGTGTCGTACACAAAGTCTCGACAAGATGCCAACTTGGACTCCAGATTCTGGCATGGATAAAAAAAAAAAAGCCTATAAATGCAACACCCAAACCTGTAATCATACTATTCAAAGAAAGCACAATACTGAGAGAAAATGTTCACTGTAGGCTGCAATAGCAAAAACTGTCAATTACTCCAACTTTTCTCAGCAGCTCTCCTACGATGTTGAGTGCAGATATTCTTGCAGATGTAGTGAGGGGAGTCCCCATTAGACCATCACCTAAAACAGAACAGATGTGTGCATGTAAACACACAGTATGTTAACATGAAGCTCATACATTTACTTATCAGTATATTTATTACAGTAGCAAAAGGTTTTCCTATCTACCTCTTCGGATGCTGGAAGCAGGGGGCGTGACAAATGAGCTGAGAGGTCTGGAGGGTGTGCCGGGGATGCATGGGTTGCCAGTTGAGGGGCATGGCAGATCCGGTCGATCTGCGTCTTTGCCCAGACTGCTGGACGGACGTCTTTCCTTCTGACGTACAGCCAGCTCCTGACGAAGATCTGCCACAAACATGAAAAACACATATAACTGAGTCAGCTTTTCATCAGTGAAAGAGATTCCAGTGTAAAATGTTTGCAGAAGAACACTGGTTTTCATTACAGTCACTGTAGAACAAACAAACTTGCAGACTCTCAAAGTTACTTTAACCCATTTTAGTCATCTCACAGTGTTTCTGTTGGGTTTTTTTCCAGCAGCCAGGTGGAGGCTATGGCTATATATGTCTGTATACTCAGCTGCAAAACATTCTTTAGAACATATTTATTGAGATCTAGCAGTACTAAATACATAATTTATTGATTTCACAGGATAACAAGTATATAAGCAACATTGGAAAGGGCTGGTTACACCGTTTATGACATGTAATTCATGACAAGGCAATGAGTATCCTTAACATTACTTTGTGAAATATGGAACCAAGGGTAAGGGCAACAAATCTGGATGTACTGCATCTGGATGTTTGTAATAAACTGTAAAATCTATCTGACTTAATGTTAGTAACTTCAGTCTACCATCATCTCTCTTCTTTGTTTTAGTCCTCTGTCTTTCTCTCCCCCTCACCTCAGCCAGGTGTCGCTTCATGTCTCCACTTTGTGTTTCTGTCGTTTCAAATTAAAAGCCCTTTGCAGAGTTATGTAATTGGGACAGTTCATAAAATTCTGAAGCAGTGGTGTCAATAATTTTGCGGTGGCAGGCTGCTGCTACAAAACATGTATAGCGGAAATACCGTCATACTGTATCTGCTTCATAACGATGTTGTAGAAGTCAACCCTGTATGAAAAACTGCACTTCTACATAAAATAGATTTAACAGCCTTACAACAAGCCAACTTTACAGAATCAGCACTGCCAAAGAACAATGTACAGTAGGTATCACAACGCAACAGTGCCACAGTTTCCCAGCTTGTTCTCTTATGAATGTTCAAAATACATTTCAAGAATACTGCTAATATAAGTTCCCACTGCCAGTGATAAGATTTGCTTTTCCTTGCCCTGGTACAGTCAGCTTGTCATGTTGTATTTGTGGAGAAAAAGCATAAAGTTTTAAAAAAAAAAAAAAAAAAAATTGCTTTGTCACTGACTGCCTCTGTTACCAGTTCAACATCCTCAATCCAGTGATCAGCAACCAAGTTGACTAGCGCCAAAAAAAAGAAAAAACCAGTTGACAGAGACAATCGCACACCCAGCGGCACCTGATGGCCAGCTATGGTTCAGTGTGTCAGGGCCCTAACATTAGTACTAAAACCAGATATGATACCAGCTGTGATGGATTGCCACTCTTTAGCCAGTTTCAAATTTCTGCAAGTCCATTTCACTAATTAATAGAAAACAGTGGCTGAGTGGAATGAGGAACAACATAATTCAAAATGATCAAGTGTATTTGATCAGTAATAAAATAAGCATAAAGTCACCGGTAAAAACCTTTAAAATCCTCCATTGAAATTAGGTGGTACAGATGTATATGAGAATACAACCACACATTAGTTCAGATACAGAATAAACAGAGAGAACAGACAGGACACAAATATTCAGAGGGTCAGTCACTGCCAGTTTGTAGAGGAGTCAGCAGTTCTTATTAAGGGTGTAACGAGCCATCAATCTGGATTGAGACATCAATCAAACACTACGCGATCTGATGACACTGATGCAAAACATAAACCGATGTTTTGTGTGCTTTTATTTTGGTAGCCAACCACATATGTACACATTTCCAGTGAAGCGCTGTTCTTGTCAAATTAGACATCTTTTCCATCTTTTTTGTGTGTGAGACAATATATATGCTCATCTCAAAAGAGGTTTGTTGAATTAGAAGGTGATCATTTGTATTTAAACAGCACTTGAAAGTGAACAGAGGAGCTCCACAATTTTTAAAGTTATACTTTTGTTACATTTTAGTTAATAAAAATTGAATTGTTGAAAATAGGCAGACAATATCACTTGATATCCATCACTATCCCCTGGATCGAATCGAAATCGCATCGTGGCATATATTCAAGCATCTGCAAACGTCAGATTGCTGGCAAAGAGCATCGATATAGGATTGTATCATGATGAGAATGGAGATTTACACCCCTAGCTCTTATAACCTTCAGGTCTGTGACACACCAAGCCGACAGTCGGCCACTATCAGGCCCTCTCCTTATTTTTTACCTCCACGATTTACTTTCTTCTTCCACTACCAAATCACCAAAGGCTAATAACACCAGTACCATTTGCAACTTCTTATCAAACAGTCTCAACTAGAATCAGCTATAAAACGTCGGTAGTGAGCAAGAGCCGCTTTGTTTACAGTTTGTACATACACAGCCCAAGTTCAGCCTTATTCCCTTTCTGAATGGCAAACACAGACACCGCCACCTGCTGGTAGGGCGAGTTATTTTGACCACGCAGGCACAGAATGTTTGGGCTAGTTGGTTGCAGGCTATAGTCTTTACAATGTGTTCATGTGTAACTTTTTTAGTCCGCTTATGTCACTGCGAGTTCGTTGATGTTGGCTTGGTGTGTCTGCCCTAAGAAGCTACAGCGAGTGGACGTCTGTGTGCATACCTCTGGCTTCATCCTTGAGCCTCTGAACAGACTCGAGTAGGTTCTCCTTCTCATCCAGCTCACTTTCAAGAAAGGCATTCCTCTCAATGACTTGATTCATCCGCTGCTCAAAGTCCTCCAGGGACATGATGGTAGCCCTGGAATAGCCAGAGAGGACAGGTCAATAAAAACTAGCCACAATGGATTATCCTGCATATTGGCCTAGCATGCTAAAGTGTATATGCACTATAAGCAATCAATTGATGAGATAATGACATAAGATCTTATACACTGACCTTTTGGTCCTCTCCAGGTCATCATTGGATTGCTCAAGCTCTCTGATGTACTTTTGCAGGTGATCTCTAACTGCTTTGGTCTGTGCCAGTTCTTCCTCCAGGGCTGAGATGTGCCTGAAAGCATCAGAATGCTGGGCCTCGAATTTCTCCTGCAAACAGAACACAGACCTCAAATGAAATGACAATGCCAGTTTTGCTGTGTCATGGAGGATTGTTAGTCAATTCAATTTTATTTTATTTGTATAGCACCAAATCACAACAAAAGTTATCTCAGCACACTTTAAATGGCAAGGTCTAAACCTTACTATTATTGATATCATAGAGGAAACACCCAACAAATCCCCCTTGAGCAAGCGACTGGTGACAGATGGGAGGAAAAACTCCCTTTAATGTAAGAAACCTCTGACAGACCCCAGCCCTTGGTGGGCAGCCTTCTGTCTTCACGGGTTGGGGTGAGTGGATAGAGGAGAAAGAAAAGAAAAGAAAAGAAAAGCAACAAGAAACAATAACAATCAATCAAACACTGGGAAGGTTGATGTGGTCGGTGACTGCCTGTCAGAAACATAAGAGCTCAAGAGCCAGGGCTACCTGCAGAAAGGTACAGGGAGAGAGATAGGACACTAAAGGAGAGGAGACACAGTTTGTTATGCATAATGGTGGTATATAGATGCATGAAGGGGAGGGGAGGAAGATGGGAGCTCAGAGCATCATTGGGGGGCCCTCAGAAGTCTAGTCCTATAACAGCATAATTAAGGGAAGGCGCAGGGTCACCTGATCCTAACTATAAGCTTTATCAAAAAGCAACATCTGAAGTCTAAAAATTAAAATAGATAGGGTGCATTTGGAAGCATAGCAAGACAATCTGTGTATTTTTTAGAGATTAGCTGAAGCAAAAAAAATCACACTGAATGTTCGTTCTCTGCCTTCTTGTCAGTAGCAATGATATGCTGAGCTTGTGTGTGCGTCTAGAGTACCGTGATATCTTCTTTGTGTGGCTAACTAGAGCACCTGAGTACTATCCAGTTCTGTAGGACCACGGCCTGTTTATAATCAAGGGGCTCTACCTTTATGCTTTCTAGTTCCAAGCGAAGTCGGTTGTTGTTTAGTAGAAGCTCTTTGTTTCGGCCCTCACACTGCTTCAGCTCAGTTTCCAGTTCTGCCTCATAATCCCGGCTCATCTGCTGAAACTCCTGCAGCTCCTCCTGAGCTTCGTCAGCCCTGGTGACAAAACTAAATTGAACTCCACCAAAATCAACTCAAAGGTTTCCACTCTGTTATATGTATGTGGCTATAAAACCTCATTATTATTTCATGCAGCTGGTTAACGAGTAGTGTGTTACAGCTCAGTAAGTTATATCATGTAATAGTAGTTTTACCTTTGCTGATGCCTCTCTGCCTGCTCCTTCCAGAAATCCAGCTCTTCTTTTAGAGAGGCAAACTTGTGTGTTGCTGGCTCTACCATCTCTATTGTTCTGAGTCTGGATGCTGGGTAGGGTGCCTAAAAATAAAATAAATCATATGAAATATTTTAATGCTGTCATTATAAGAGCAGAGTCGTGCTTACAATTGAAACCACACAACTGTTAGCATTAACGAATGCTAAACAGGCTGGTTAATGTACGTCACCACCGCCATTGCATTTTGTCACTATAATGCCATACTAAGCTGAGACAAGTAAATAAACATGGTCTGTGTTTATTTATGGCAAGTACTAAAATGTAAAGACGCTGCTTTTTAAGGCTAAAAGCGGTGCTGGAAACTGCATAACGATAACAGCTACGCTAGCTATATCTCAGCTAAGCTAATGTAGTTAGCTAAGCGCCCAAAATTCCATATCCCAAAGCAGCAACTAAGATAAAGTAAGCCAACTCACCTGCATCCAAGAGAACGTTTAAACATAATACAGGCGAAGGGAATGTAATTCTAGGCAAATAGTTCCCTGACTCTGCAACAACGTACCACAATTTAGACTAGCTAATCTCTCCTAACGTTACAACAGACACCGTCTTGCCATTGCCAACCAAATACAAACGAAGCTTTAGTTTTCGGGCGCCATTGGACAATACAGATGACGTCAGGCATGTATTATCCAATCATATTATTCAACAAATTTGAAGCTGCGTAGCCCACAGTAATACCTGGGCCGGTCTCTTCCTGTTGTTTTGTCATGACGCAACAAAGCACAGCAAGGGAGTGTTATCCAGAGGCGTTGCTAAACATAAAGCTCTACTGGGGTACAGCCCTCTCGTTACTCAAATCACAACTATTTTTATTGAAACAACTACTGGTAACGGTAAAAATGTAGAGATATTAATCTTTATGAAAATATTTATTTGATCATCATTAATCTATGATGGCTGTATGAAAATACACGTATACATTGTGGAGGTAAAACAATCGTAAGCAGATGACAAAGCAGGAACCTAATGTTAAAGATGGTACTTAATATCACTCTCTACTTAAGGCAAAGTTACCAGAAGTTAACATTTAAGAAATGATTAGTTTCATGATGCATGTTCTTTGTTTCTAACAAAGAAATAGAGGATTTTTGAAGGGGTCTGGGGACTTTGTGTGCTGATTATTAATGTTACATGTGGCCAAAGGAGTGGAATGACAGCCAGCAGCAGCCTAATTTTAAAAATGTTTATTGTAGTAACACCAACTTAATGCATTGCTGCTACAACTTTACCAGAAGATGGAACATTTAAGTTAGCACAGCTTGAGTTATACAGTATATTGAATGCTATGTTTATCAAAATAGCAAAATTAACTGTTGGATTTTTGAAAGGAGTTTAGCCACTTTTTAATCAGCAAAAGAAACAAGGAGCTTATAAAGTGAAACAATGTGCACTGTCCATGATGCTGAAGAGAAGAATCCTGAACAACTTTTGACTCAGGAATAGTATGAAACACTGACCTCAGAATCTAACCCTGTCTATCTTCTACCAACAACACATAACCTGCAGAAGCATGCATCAGCTTCACATTTATTTCAGTTACAATTGTTATGAATTAAGATTTGGTGGTGCAGAGGCTTCATTGTCGATGAGGGACTGGTACAGCATCATCTTTGTCCTCTTCATAGCTGAACATGTCAACTTCTGGGTCCCAGCGTCCCACATCAGTTTCTCTGGCAGGACAGGAAACAACATGGTACACTGCAACTTTTCAAGCACAAAATACAGTGTACTTTTCTCTAATTTATCAACTATCAGAGCCCATCTGCCTGCCCACAATGGCTTTATTCTCCCCAACTGATGCTTTCATCTAGGGTGTTGTGGAACACAGTCTAGTTTATTTAGAAAAAGAAGGAGAAAGAAAAGGATCTATTCATCAGAACCAATGGCCCTGAAACTAGTTGTGTCCACCGAGGACAAGAAAAGTACACTTGTTTAAAAATGTAATGCTCAAATACAGATGAATGGAAGTGAGATGGATGCTGGCTTCTTTGTCCCTCTCCACTATTCCCAGCTTAAAGGCATGATGCATTAAGCAGTATTATGTCTCTGCTTTTGAACACAAAGTGAACAGTTTATACCGCTGAGTGAATACTGCCCCAGTGAACGCAGATATCAGGACACATTTAATATCAAGTGTGATTTTATGGGTTTTATTTAATCCAAACATGATTTTACACAGTCTAGATCAAGGAATGAATTTTCAAGCTCAGCGTGTTTAAATGCCCTATCTGCAGAGTTTCTGATTCATAATCAAAACTTGTGGGCTGCTGGGAGGAGATGGTGTGCACATTTTTTTTTTACCACAAATGGGCTGCTGTTCACCATTCTATATGACTCTATTCAGTTAATTGTTTCAGTCATTCTTTTTGCATGGATTTGCAGTTGCAACATTAGCTGTTTCCATCTTTGCCAATGGTGTTTGCCTTTGTCATATGATAGTAAAACTGAATAGGCCTGTTTGGTTGGATAAAACAGTACTGAGAAGATCTCAGTAGTGGGACTATTGCTGTGCAAAGGCTTCAAGAAATTGTGAAAATAGATTTTTGTGGTAAAATTGTAGGTTAATTCTAAATAAAATCAGCCTATATAGGGCTATACAAATATTATCTTAGTTGTTTGACTGATTATCATTTCTCATGCTTTTCCAGCTGTGTGTACTAGAGGGTGCATAAGCACATAGTCGTGTTTCCATTCAGTTTAAACGTTTAAGCCCAAGATTGTCATCCACTATACAGTAGGGTAGCTAATTATGTTAACTAATTAATTAATTATGTTCATTATCAATTAATATGCCAGTTATTTTCTTAATTAATAGATTAACTGTGATCCAAAATGCCTTCTTTGAATCAACAGCCAAAAACTGAAAGAAGTTTGTCATTGTTTAGTTTATCATGAAAGTCTAAAAAAAACTGCAAATATTAACATATGAGAAGCTGAAACTAGAGAGATTTTCTTGGCACTTTTTCTTACAAAATGAATTAATTACTCAGCAAAGCAGTTTAATTATTTTCTGTCAATCAGTCCCCCCAACTCCTCATGTACAATCGTTCATTAGGTAAAGTACAAAGACGATGGAGCCAACAGCTATCTTTTTCACAGTAACGTTATTCAGTTTCAGAAATATAGTTTAATGCAATGCAAAACAAACTGACAGCAAAAGGATACAAAATGACCAGAGAGATGCAAAACAAGTACCAAAAAAAGACACAAACGATCCCTTAACCTCACGTCTTCTCTCTCTTTATCTTTCTCTCACATGCATACAAAAGTTGTCCTTGAGTCACCATAAATAATACATTTGTGTTAGCATTAACTGGGGGCCTTGCACAAGAACAGCTGGTAGGGTGAGTCACAGTCCTATCAGCTTACAGCTAATCAAAGGCATCCATTAAAAATATTTAATGCATCATTTAGAAAAAAAAAACATTTATTGTGTCCAAGGAGCTTCAAACATCCATGGGCTATTTGGAAATCCAACTTTCCCTGTTTCTCGCTTAGATACTTTTATTATAAAAAACAAACAAGCAAACAACACCAAAAACAGGACAGCTTCTTCTGTTTCCTCTTGTCTCCTGGCTGACTGTTTTGAAGAAGCCCTGTGAAATGCTCTTCTTTATAGAGCCGATTCCATTCACCATTAATCTACCAAGATCTAATTAAGCCAAAAATCGAGGTCAGAACCTTAGGTGTCCATTTTATGTCCCTGTTATAATGGATTGTGCAGGAAACAAGGACAAAACGTCCTTAGAAACATTCAAACCTCCATCAGGTGCATCATTTTGAGCCAAGTACCACTGCAGCATCTTCTCCACGGGGTGTCAGCATACACACAACAGCAACATCTGAAACCTAAACAAAACGTAACTATTTACACAATAATATATATTGCTATCACAGGAGGGACAAAAACTATATTTTAATCACCTTTAAAATAATTCTACATATCATGTTTTGTTTGCCAGTCAGTGCAGCAGGTGGTGCCATAAGGTTCAGGACTGTAATGTCCCCACTGTGCCAAGGGCCCTACAGGGATGCGTAACACCACACTCCAACCACAAGGAGGCAGGCATGTGATGAGGAGAACTAGTTTCTTAGGCCTTTTCTTTTCTGATGTTTAGACTTAGTGTTGTCCGCTGGAGCACGAAGTCCCATTAGTGACTTATTGAAGCTCACAGGAGACAGGAAATTAAGAGAACCAGGCAAAATGATAAGAGGTCATGTTGAATGTCAGTGCAGTTACTTTCCACTTGGTAATATTAGTGGCATGGCTCAAGGGGTGGCAATGTCTGTCTGTTGGTTGGTCCACCACTTTTGTCTACAATGAAATATCTCAAAAACTATTGGATGTATTCCCATGACATTTTATACAGAC